GATATGGAGAAGGGTCTAGAAGATAACAGAGCATGAATAACGTCAAGTAATGTACAAGGCTTGACACTAATGGTATACTCATAGCCTATGATAAGTAATATTGCCAGTAAGGCAAATGAATAGTAACCCAGTTGCCTTTAAGTTTTATTGTCATCAAAATTTAATTGAACCCTTTGACATGTCAAGTAAGATGTGAACTGCCATGAATGCAGTCTGATGTGATTAGATTAGTCTGTGATCTTGAGTTGTTTTCTATATAACCGTATGGCGCCCTTAAGTTATAAAACAAGTGTATTACACGTATATGTATGTACCACTGCTCTGAGCAAACATCAAACAAAACATGCATTATATACTTCAGCACACACACACACACACTGAGCTAAATTCAAGGAGCGATGTGTATAACAGTATTTAATGTAGTGAAGACAAAAAATCAGTTTTCTATCGGTATAACTTGCAAACGCTGTAACTTTCTAATTCAGTTTGTAGTCTATTACTAGTTTTGTCAACAAGTCTATTGAGAATATATTGGTAATATATTTTTGTCAAGCCCAGAAGTTTTCAAACTTTTTTTACTGTTATGATATAATTCTATTCTTCTCTGTGATACTAGTCTGTAAATTATATTTTCATTGTGATTGGTTGATGCAATTTTTTTTTCTTACATTCTGTCGGATTTGCTGTAGATTTATCTAGGTTGCATGGTGAATATAACATATCAATCAAGTAATGAACAACTAAATATTCAAATTCAATGCTAGTCAAACCTTCTACCTATGTTTGGATTACACTGTTACACAAACTGATGTGGTTGGTCCTTGAAGAACTACGAATAGCGTATAGCATAGTTAATTATTCATGAAAGCATTCAATTTGCACACCAAAAAAAAAAAAACAGGTGTTTTTATAAACAATTGTGATGTTGTTCAGAAAGTAAACTTACTTGAGATTCACAATCAATTAAATCACTGAAAAACCACAGCGAAGTAAACACTGTTGGCGGTTTAAAAATACAATGCAATATTGACGCAAAAATAAACTATACTTGATTGTCAATGTGTCTGCATTTTATTAGTTTTTACACACTCAACAACCTTGTATGGATATGCCATTTACATTTTTAGTATGATCTCGTAATCATGACAGGGGCTATTAACCTGCATGAGGCAGCTGGAAATTGATTCAGCTGTTCCTTTTAAAACTTTAATCGTGCATGATCTTTCTCATAAAGTGCTTATATAATGCTGCTTGATTTTAAACCAATGAAGCATGTTTAAACCTCCAAGTCCCAACATACATGTATACATGTATATACTAGTTCAATATGATCATCATGTAATCATATTCAATGACTGGGTTAGTTCTACTTTTAATAATTTTATTAAATTGTCCAATTATTGAACTTGTGGTAAATTGATTGAAACCAAATTTGATAAGTTACTAATATGTTTAATCCTTTCACCACCAGACTTTCTCGCCCAATTTTTCCGCACTTTTTAGTCCCCGTTCGGACGTAGTCCGAAAACGGGGACTTATGTTTTGCCCTGTGTGCGTTCGTGATCACCTGTATTTCGAACATGCATGGACTGATTAAGTTCAAACTTCACTTGTACATCACACATTATATGGGATATGATCCGATTAACTATAGCCGAATAGCGGCCATTTTAAGGCCGAAAATGCATCAAAATTGCACATTTTCACCATTCCGGACCCGGATCTCAGTTATGCATGGACGGATTTTGTTCAAATTTGGTACATACATTAAACATAATAGGACCTTGATGCACGTCATTTTTTTTGGATCAAGTTCGAAATGGCCGGCTGGCGGCCATTTTGTTTTAAAGAATACAGTTCTGGATCCGTATCTGAGACATGTCTGGATTGATCGAGTTCAAACT